CTGTCTCTCACAGTTGAAGTGTACCTCTGGTGCAAATTACTGACCTCTGTCATCATTTTAAGTGGGGGAACTTGCACAATCGGTGGCTGACTAAATACCTTTTTGCCCCACTGTACCTAGACTTGACTTTACTGGTGCTACATTCTCTAGAAAAACTGTAACAAAATCCTGCCAGTGCAAGAGAAAGCCCTCAACACAGACTGCTGTGTGCAAAACATATTTATATTCATTTGGTCAGGAGTACCGTTTTTAAGGGCTCATCAAAGTAAGTACAATTCATCTTGAGACGGGCATGTAGTGGTTGTCAGAGACAGGCTGAGTGGCTATGGGTTGGATATTTCTCATGTAACGGAAATCTAAAAACATAATAGAATATAAATTCAGATTAAATCTTTATCTAATGATGAATGGGAGGAAAAAGAGACTGCTTCTCCTAATAAACCAGATTTTCTACACAAAATTCAGATTTAGGGTGAAAATCAGAGCAAAGCAGCGTCTTCGTGTACAGCGCGCATTTGTTAAAAGATCTTCTATCAGCAGGAGTAAAAATAAAACTCTTCCTGCTGAGATCCAGCAGGAGATTTGTTCACAGTTAAGATGTTAGATGGAGGAATGATCAACTGCCGGGTGCTGACATTTTTCCTTTAAAAATTGATTTTATAACTGCAGCAGAGTGTCCCTTGATGAAACTCTCTGCCAAATCACCCATTTTTGTTTTTACAGCAGTTTGGATCTTTTATGTTTTTTTTTACTTTGGCAGCCTTTGAGAATGAAACTCCTTGTACTGATGAAGAGCTCTGCTTGGACTAAAGATGTTTACAGATGCAGAAATGTGTCTCCTTTTTTTGAAAGTGCCACAGGGATATTTTACAGGATTGTGATTGGATTTAGAGAATAAAAACATCAAAACGCTTCATAGTACACACCACTAGTCAAAGCTCTTTAGACCTTTTAGATCTAATATTAATACAAACACAATCTCATTCAGTCCTTTTCAGTCCAAACACATAATCCAGTCCTGCTCAAAAAACATATTACAGCTGAAGAGAAAATCTGGTCTTCAAAATAATAACAAAAAAAAAATGAACATGTTTGTTGTGGAGAGCTGTGGCAGATGAGAATGTACAGTACATGCTGATCTGGATGTTTTCCCATCTTAAATTAATATCCTCACGTTATTTTTTCTCCTCCTTTAAAATCAGCCTCCTTCTGAAAATAACAGGAAAAGCATTCTCTGTGTTTCATGTGTTGAAAAATAAGTAATTTGTTTTAGGATTTCCTGTTTATATTCAAATGGACACATCTACTACTGTTTAGAGCTTTTAATAAAATAATGCCTCATTATACATTTTTCTTGCATCACCATCATAAGGCCAGGTTTGGTTCTTCATACGAGACATTTATCTTCATATCTGTTTGATCATCTGTTTGGAGTGCTGGTGCACAGCTTCGACGAAGGCACCTATGTTCTCCGGCTCCATGTCGGGGTAAACGCCGTGGCCGAGGTTGGCGATGTAGCCCCTTGTGCCGAAACCCTCCAACATCTTCTTCACGATGTCTGAAATGCGCTCCTGAAGAGAAAGAGAGCAGGTTCATGTCAGTCACCGTCACAAAGAAACGATCCAACATAACGCTCTTTCGGCAAAACGCATTCTCACGCAGTAAAACTGATTTTAACTGGGACGCTCAACGGCAACAGCAGGTGGCCGAAGTTAAATGCAGACATCATCTCCTACAATGAAGGCAAAACTGTTTGTGCTCGCCATCAGCGACACGACGTGACACATACGCCAGATCACAGTGCACAGGTGAGCTGAAGGGTGAAGCCGTGTGAGAGACAGAGTGTGTGAGAGAGGTGGTGCAGTGTCATTTTAGATGAAATTAGCGCAAATGTGAGGGAACATGCTCACTGAATGATAATGAGGGAATCAGGACAAGGAGTGCAAGCTAATCTCAGCAGATTGTCTGTGGCCACCACAATCAAGAGAAAGACGTTTCAGGTCATCGCTTTGCCAGGAGACTGGCGAGCTTTTCTTCCAGCGATCATATCCTATAAGTTCATTTAGAGAACATCTGTGTTTATAGACTTGTTCTTTTTTTAATATTAGGATATCTGACAGAGTCAATGTGTAGTCAAACGTCTCTACAATGACAGAAATGGGACTTTGGCTGGTCTGAACCACTCAAGCTCAAAGTGGGCTCTATGTGGCAAACAATACAAAGTTTGAGCCTCCTTATTTACAGTTTAGAGGGGAAAAAAAAAAAAAAAAAAAAAAACAGAAGATAACCATTTAATTGTTTGGCAGGTGTAACGATACAGGGTGCAGGAGTCTGGACTTTTCAGGGTTGCAATTAATTTGGCTTTTTTTCAGTTTGTTCAAACAAACATTAAAAAATTAGCAGCTATAATGTTGATACATTTGGAGTTTCTGTGTTTATTTAACAAAGTATAAATAAGTCAATTAAAATTTGTTCCTATGATTATCACCGCAGATTACAGGTTTGTGTTGTTTTTATATATATATCTATATCTATATATATCTATATATCTATATATCTATATCTATATATAGTGATTAAAAGCTCTTAAATCACACATTCAACGATGATCTGCTAAATTAACAGGGATATTTCAAGCTGATTATTTTCTTTAATCACCACCGCAGATGGTGACTGATTATTAGAAAAGTCTTCATTGTGCTGTTTGGTGTCATCTTGTGCACCACACTGAGCAGAAAATCAGATGTTTGCAGGGATGACAATAATCCAATTGCCAAAGCAGTCTGATGTTTCTGTGACCACAGCAGCTGACGTGGATAGCACCACAGCCAACAACCCGGGGATGTCAGTCTGGGGTCAGACTAAAGTTGTATCATTTAAAAAAAAAACACAAAAGATGGAAAACTTCAAAGACAAAATCTTTCCAGATTAGCAGGTTAAAGTCATTAACAGCAAATGGCAAAAATCAAAGGTCAAAATGAAGTTTTCTTAAATATGAAAACCTATGAAAGTCACTTTTATGAGAATTACCTAAGTATGAGTTTCAGATTTCTATGTGTCGGTTTAAAGCACAGTGAAATTGGAAGTTACCTTTGGAGCATACAGAGCACAGGGGTCCATGTTTCCTTGCAGGCTGACCTTCCCTCCTGTGCATTCCCTGAATTCACAAACATACACATCAGAGGACACACGAGTTAATCCTTCAACCAGCGGTTTAAGCATTTGATGAATAGATCAGCCCAGCAACAAGAGAGAGGTCAGCAATGGCCAACATCACGCCCAACATCACTGCTATGACCACCTACATTTGCTTCAAGTATTTGTAGATTCTGTGTGGGCTTTTCACTGTATGCTACTTCTCTATTCAGGCTCACGTTCAAAAATGTTTGGCTGGTTTAAATCTTACAATTAAAACACAGAGACTGGTGCTGCATGCAAAGACAAACCAGTGTGCGTTTTGTGTTACCGTGCGGATAGTGGGTCAATGGTCCAGTCCAGGCCAACCACTTCATAATTAGACTGAGACAGTTCCTCTAAGGCGTAGTGAGCATCCTTTGCAAATACAATCTACACACACACACACACACACACACACACACACACACACAACAACAGATTTTCAAATCAACTTCTTCAGGAACCATTGTTGGTGAAATGCTGCCACCTGCAGGTAGATACAACAGAACAGTGGTTCTCCTTACACTGCATGAATCCTTAATGATCCCTCCAGGAAGGCAACACAGTGCTAATAAGAATAGAGCCGAGTGCTGACACAAATATAGCAGTTACTAATGACCCAACAAACAAAACAATGAACATCATTTGTTACTACTAGTTGTTTGAAGCTTAGCATCTGATATGCATGTCAGGTGACTCTCTTTGCAGTGCATTCATGCTGATGTGTAAGTGTAGAAGTCCACGTGTGTTACGCATGTGTGGATGGAGGAAATGTGTTTCTGATTATACACTGAGGGACAAATGTCTGTGTGTGAATCTGTTTGGTGTCCCTCTCACCATGGGGACATCCTGTCCTGCCTCCTTCAGTTTATCTTTGACGCGGCGAGCGATGTCTCGGAGGTAAGGCAGCGAGAACTCTTTAAACTCTGCAGGTCCCAGAATGCCGGCGTGGGACTCAAACACCTGCAGTGCCTGAAAAACACACAAGAATTGTGTGAATGGTGACAGTGACACTTTGAGAGTGACCCAAGACGTCACTGTTATAAACACTGGGATTTCACGGCGCCCAGCAGTGGGGTTAAAAAAAAAAAGAAAAACAAAGAAAAAAGGAAATATAACACTTTAAAGGGGCTGTCTTTGTGTTAACATTTCACTTACAACTTCAAATCCCTTCAACTTGAGTATTTTTCTGCTGTATTATGTAGAATATATGAATTAAAATACCTGAAACCTGAAAGGCGACCGTGCTGACCACTTTTCTTTTTTAACTTGGAAACATTTTCTGTCTCAGCGTGTCTGACTGACATCCCTCCCACTCACAGCAGTGATGACAACACTTCAATTTACGTCACTGTTGCCAGTTAACTGACTTTGTTGCTACATTCATAGACTTGTCACACTTCTTCAGTACTTTCTCTTCTTTTGTAAGAAAAAAAAAAAAAAGCACTTTGTTCAAGCAAGCACACAGATCCGGAGCTCTGTCGCTGTCTCAGATTGGACACATTTGTTCAAGTCTGCATTACGCTGACACATACTGATTAATGAGACAGTTAAAAGATGGTGCTGTTACGTCAGTTCAGTCCGGTTTTATTCATGCAGCACCAGTTCTCAAGAACAAAAAAATCCCGTCAAGGTATTTTAAGACAAAGATTGTGCAATATTAACCATCATATGATCTGCTATGACCAATACTTGTTGACAGTGGAGAGGAAGAACTCCCTTTTAACGGGAAGAAACCTCTTGCAGAACGAAGGCAGATGGAGAGGCAGCCATCTGCTACGATCGATCGGCTAGGTGACGGGAAAGAGGAAATAAGAGAGCATGGGGAGAGAGGACCACACACCCACACCATTGTTTATGTTCTGTAAAAATACTGAAAATTGCAGGATTGGGTAAACTTACTGGAATAATTTGTGCTGCCTCAGCTGTATTTTGCACTGACGCAGAGATTGTCAGCATTTATTTATGTCCTTGACTCAAACATATATGACTTACACTGACTCTGTCCTGTGAATTTTTTTAATTTATTTATTACATCTTTTCTTTTTTTCAAGGGAAACTAAAATAAGCTAAAGATAAAAAGATTTATATATAGTGACATCATAATGGAGGAAGTCTGTTTAGACACAGAAAGCAAGGAAGTCTGACCTGAGCTCCAGCTGCCACTTGTCCTAGCAGATACTCCACGATCACATCTGTCAGCATCTTCAGCAGCATGTGGCTGGCTTCGGGGTGCTGATACAGCCAGCGCTTTGCCTTAGAGTGAGTGTTGGAGCCTCCACCTTCTATCATGTAGGACATGAGCGTCCACTGTGGATGAACAGAGAGCTGTTAGAATATGGAAGCATTATCTTCTATAAATGTTTAAACATGTGCGCGCCTAACCGGAGCCCCGCTGAATCCTATTAGTGGCACTTTGCCCTCAATTTTGTGTCGGGTCAGTGTGATGGCTCTGAAGACGTAGCCCAGTTCTTTGTCAGTGTCCACTTTGACCTGCAGCCGCTGCAGGTCCTCTGGCTCCTTCAGAGGCTCTGGAAATGTTGGACCTTTACCTGCAACCATCTGGACATCCATACCCATGGCCTGGAGGGAGGAAGAAGAAACAAAGACAAACCAAACAAGTTAATATATCTGCTTTCAGTCATGCAGTGTCCAGTCCATCACAGGGCCTCATTTTATTTATGATGTGTTCACAACCAGCGTTGGTCAAGTTACTTGAAAAAAGTAATCAGTAACTAATTACTGATTACTTCCCCAAAAGAGTAATCCCGTTACCTTACTGATTACTTATTTTCAAAAGTAATTAATTACTTAGTTACATAGTTACTTTTAAAAACACGATTTACAACCTGAAGAGGTGATAAAGC